AAAACCGCAGGTGCATGTCCCCTCCCTCAGCAGATATATTTTGGGTTCTTTCTAAGAAAATGCCATTTTAGTAGAGTAACTGAGGGAGAACTGAAAGCAGAACCACCAGTTAGCAAACTTTTGCAGAAAATGAGATGTATCTGAAAGGAGGAGAAAGAGGAATCTCATGGCTCCCTGTGTCTACACAATTTTTCCTCAAACTTCTCCATTTCACATTTCAGATTGCGTTTTATTTTGCTTTAAGGAAAGCAAAGGACAAGGTTCGTCCTTCGCTATTGGTGACCTTTAGGATAAAGGTAATTCTGTAATAACTGTAATCATACATAACTCTATAATAAAATAATTAGAATAACTTGTTACATGTTATCCTGTTCATAAAAATGTCAATGACTGACAATTTTACATGCAATTTTTTTCTTACATGTTCTACATCTTTCCTTTTCCTAAACAACACTGACTACTGAAGAGGTTATTAGGCTTTCTCAAGAGTCCCTGTAGAGTTCTGAGGAGAAGTAAGATTGCCATGTCATTTAATGTCTTAGTACCTTCTCACATGGGATTCCATCATCGTCTAGGACGTCAGCCTCTTAACGTGTTATAATTATTTTTTGATTTTGATAGTGAACAGTGATAGCTGACCCACGGTCAACTGTGGGAGAATAATGTTAAAGCCACTGTCCTCGGATTATACTTCAACCAAGCAGCAGTTGTGTAACAGTTGTAAATCATTGCATAAAGTATGACCATTTTGCTACTAGCATTTATTTGCATCGATAACTGAGATACAGGTGAAGTGGTAGAAGTGAAAGTGGTTATTTTGTTTATAAATAAAATTGGGCAACATTATTTACATAAAGTCTTTGAGTGGCTATACAATCCTAACCATTTATACATAGGAAAGTCACCACATTGCCCAGAATGAGAAGTTAGAGTACTTACCACCCGCAAGTATACTTTGCTGCAAGTTTCTTCATGTCATTGTTCTCCAAACGTGACGTTGTATGGCAATAGGAAGGAGAAAGTCCTCAAGCGTGCAAGGGCTTAAGACACCATAACCACACGGAGTCATTGCAGTAGAGGGAGGAGGGGCTAAGTGTAACACAAATAGCTGGTCTTCCCTGGCAGTTAATTAGGAAAATAACTACAGGCTATCTTGAAAAAAGATTCTCTGTAGCTATGATTTACAATGAGGTTACAGGGAAGATACTCTTCCTGCCTCCCTTAGAGTCCTAGTCACAATCTGAAGTGGAGCACAATGCCTGTAGATAAATAGTAATGCCTTGAGCTTGGCTGCTCCACCAAGTCTAGAGCAACGTCAGTAGCGTGCACACCTAGGGAAACTGCAGTTACAAACCTGTGTTTAAGTTCTGTAGTGTTATATATATATATACACACTATTAGAATAAAAGCGAAGTCTGACACGATCGGTGATGGCTTAAACCTATAGCTTTTCTCCTCCATGAACCACAGCCTGGAGAGAGAGCGAGGGCATGACTCACGACAAGTGTTCTTCCCAGAGAGGCAGTAGAGAGCGTCAATAAACGGTTTCCGAAACAAACCCAGTTACCGCTGTCTTATTAGCGCAGCCCAGCACACCACCCCGACCCCTGGGAGATGGGGTGGGCAGCACGGCGAGGCTGGAGAGGGCTTTCAGAGCAGATAGATTACTGTTGACCGCCTTCTGTGAACGGGCCACCACTTTCGACAGAGGCACCTTGCACTGAAAGAGAACAGTTGACTCCAACCCTCTTTTCTAGTTTTAATACCCCCAGTGTTTGAAAAATTTCGGAACTGAAAATCCAGACTCCGGCACCTCCTGGTCAAATACTTTCCTTATTTCTCGGTGTTGAAATGTTTGAATCTGCCACCTTGCAGCTTCAGTATTAGATGCCAGTCAAAATTCTGGATGTAGAAAAAACAGTAAAAAGCTTTAGCAGGAGGTTGTCAGTGATTCTGAAGGAATTTGACAGTACACGGTGCGCACTTATGTTACTATATTCAGAGAGGACAGGCTTCTGCATTTTTGCAACTGTTTCGGTAATTTCAGTTGAAGGAATTCCATTGCCTAAAATATCCACATAAAGTACATTTTCATCCGTGCAGTAATATTAGTAGTTTACATTCATTTGCAAACAGTAACGCTGAGTGCCCAGATGGACAACCAACCTAACTTACCAGCGCTTAGCAGGTCTTGAGCATATCCTGTTCTGTCCACAGGACATACCTGCCCTGCAGACACAGACACGTAATCACAGCTGTAAGGGCAGCAGCTATTCTGAACACCGAGAGCAGTTTTGGTGTACCATAAAAGCCTGCGCTAAAGACTTTATCCTAGAGCTGGGAAGTTAACCTCCACGGAGCTTTACACTGCGGTGGCTGGACTAGAACGAGTAGCCAAACTCAACTGTGCGAAATGGGTCTGAACCACGCATCCTTGCCCCTGGAGATCCCGTGACTAGAAGGCAGGCGTGCGTTAAGGTGCGGAAAAGTCACAGAATCACAGAATCACAGAATGGTAGGGGTTGGAAGGGACCTCTGTGGGTCATCTAGTCCAACCCCCCTACCGAAGCAGGGTCACTTACAGCAGGCTGCACAGGACCTTGTCCAGGCGGGTCTTGAATATCTCCAGAGAAGGAGACTCCACCACCTCCCTGGGCAGCCTGTTCCAGTGCTCCATCACCCTCGGAGTGAAGTTCTTCCTCATGTTCAGACGGAACTTCCTATGCTTCAGTTTGTGCCCGTTGCCCCTTGTCCTGTCGCTGGGCACCACTGAAAAGAGTCTGGCCCCATCCTCCTGACACCCACCCTTCAGATATTTATAAGTATTTATTAGGTCCCCTCGCAGCCTTCTCTTCTTTAGGCTGAACAAGCCCAGCTCCCTCAGCCTTTCCTCATAGGAGAGATGCTCCAGTCCCCTCACCATCCTCGTAGC